TTTTTTAAAGCATTTAAATTTTTTGTCACATGGTCCATAATGTAACGAAGAGAGGTGTCAGACTCCCTTATCATATTTTCTATACCAAAAAGTGCCTTTAAATGATTATTAATTAACAACCTTTTGTTGTTGTACCTGTCGCATAGAAGGCACCATGCAGCCATATAGTTATCAGAACAAAATTCAATTGATTTAATCACCAATGCAGCACTACCCTCCAATGAGGACCTCAAATAATGAAATTTATTTATGGTATTTATACTGTCATTGCTATGAATTAACGAAATGTAAGTATCTCTATATTCCAACCACTTACTATAACATCCATCAAACATGGGCAACTTGATGGTAGGAAGAGATATATTATTATTTACTAGAACATTGTCTGTATTATTTGATTGATTGACAACTGTGTCTGATAAACTTTGCCTCCTATTTGCAATGATACTCGCTTCCTCTATGATAGATTGGGAACTAGACATTAAAGAAAAAAAATCATTTTCCATGGACTCCCTCTCATTGAGTTGATCAGAAGAATTGTCACTTAATATTTCTATTTCGGTTTGTAGATTATCAAAGGCGGATAAACTATTTTCTAATTTATTTAGTCTTAATTTTAATTCTGAAAGTTGCTGCGTAGTTAATTTATTTATATCAATTTGCCGAATAATTTCTAAATAATTCTTAAATATTGTTAATTGACCTTTTAGACAACTGCGCCTTTTGACGAGCTTATCAAGAGCTTCTGCCATAATGATGTGGGAAATAAGAAATCAGAGGAAATAAATTATACAATACTAAAAACTAAGTAAATACCTCGAACTGCTTCTCCGAAGGATCCTCTCACCACTCACCAGGTGTGATATGTTATAAAATAGCTATTAATTTGTTTATTCTTTCCAATGATGCATCAAATTATATGCTTGGTACATCCAATAATCGGTGAAAGGCCGGTGCAGTTGTTTAAAGTTTGACCTGGAATTTACAATATTTATATACAACAACTACAAAAAATATACTTAACCTGAAAGAAAATGATAAACCTTTATGCAAATTTCAAAAAACTAAGTACTTATATTTTTTTTTTTTTTTACTTTGCGAAGGTAGGTAACTATTATACGCGTTTGCAAATTACTGCCTTTTCTACCTTTATACTCTTATTTTTATTATCTACTATGCACAATAACACTTATTCGACGTTACTCGTCCAAAAGAACTAGGGGATGGATCTAAAAGAAAGGAATAGGAACGGGCTCACCAATTTCTATCCCAGACCAGCAATCTTCCTTCCAGTCTAAATCCTGGTCACGGCACCACTTTTCCTGTTAACTCCAGGAAATAATAATCCCAATCTTGATTCGTTTACAGGCATTTAATCTTCAATAAAGATAATTACAGATTTGCTAATATTAATAAGTATAATGTGTATGCAATCAAAGGAAGCGAGTACAATTTTCTGCGTCTTGTCTTCTCTCAAACCGTTATAATAAAAAAAACGATTGTTGCCGACAACGCCCGTCGGCCGCCGTCGTGATCATTCGGTAGTGTTCGGCGGTTCGCGTATTTCCCGCGCGTAGTTCAAGCGCGAACACTAGCTCTTTGTAAAATACCCAAAAAAAAAAATCTATGGTGTTGAGATCTGCCGAACGCACAGGCCATTCGATCGGTCCTGTACGCCCGATCCATCTTTAGGGAATGTGGCGTCCTGTTTCACAAATATCACATCTTGAAATTATTGTAAAATAACACATGCTACAGTTATTTTACAGGAATTTCAATTAACTTTATTTTAAAATAACATTTTTAAGTAAAATTTACCGTCAGATCATATAAAGATCATATAAATGTAGATTCTTGAATTTGTATGAATAACACATATTTAGTATACCTACGCAATGCTGCGTGTGCTAAGAAGTTTCTTATAGAATCACTCAAAATTTATCTTTAGGCACATGTGTTTTTTTTTTTTATATTTAGCTCCGACAAATGACTCCACCTAATGTTAAGTGACGGTGAAGTCCAGACGCGAAGATAGCTGATACAGCACTTCTACCTACCACAATGTTGATTTTTAATAACGTAAAACTTACAGCATGAACTCTTGCGTAATCCACTCTATTAATGTAATAAGCATTCTTAAAATTTTCCACCAAAGCGCAGTTTTTAAAGTGTAAATTTTAGATGTACTAATTACTGAGACGTTTTTCCTCATTAATCCCTCCGTTTCCCTCCTTTCTCCATTTGATGCGTCGCCTAATTAAACAGGAGCGTTCGACACTGTTGTTTGAAAAACTGTCGAATTCCCCAAGGATCTTTGCTGAAGCACTTCTTTTATTGCTCGTTCGTTACATTAGCGCATTGGATAAGGTATCAGTTCCGTATTGTGTTACTGTCATTATCACGCTATTATTTAAACCTCTTTTTGTATTCTGTGATTTAAATGAATGTATAAAGAAAAATATCTACTAAAATTTTCTTTGGATTGAAATGCAGTACTTTAATGCTTACACAAAAATCTACAAAGCTGTGTGTTTCCATACTTAATAGCCATTGGATCACAGCCTGCTAAAATTCATTCTACAGCAGCTCATGGTATGAAAGGTATTTCTTAATTTTTTATGATGAGATTTTTATCTTTGCTATGAAGTTGTGATGTGATAAAATGAAGCTTAGTTAAAGTCGGTAAGTTAATTTTAGTTTTCCTTGGTTTTATACTTTTTCAGTCTTGTGAGAAATAGAAAAAAGGTGTTTTGCAACTTTACTTACCTATCATGTCAAATTTAATCTTGTCAGTTCTTCTCAGTACAAGGTCTTCGAATGGCGAACGACAGCGTTTTCAATATACATTTTTAAAAGTCGAATGAATGTATGATTGCTAAAAAATTTCTATTAATTTATGAATTCCCTACGGATATTTTGGTTATCTTAAAATTATAAGGCTCCGTATCAACAAAATAATTGTTGGTATAAACAGGTTGATGGATTTATTTCGATCGATAATCCATGAATAGAAAATTGCTTTTTATTTAATTTGGATATGTTTTACAGAACAAAGTGTTACAACCTTTGAACCAAGAATTTAAAATGATAGTACCTAATAATATTTTTTAGTAAGTAGGTAACTACTATCTACTTAATTTTTATATAAACACTCCATGGCGTCTACTTAAGCAGTATCGGAAATAAAACGTGATACGGGTGGAAAAGATTAAGAGTCTATCAATAAAACATAGCTCTATTAGCCCAATTTCCATAAAGTTACAAGGTGGCTACATGAACGAGTTATTTCCATAATGGACCCGCACGGCAATTCTGAAAGCAAATTGTTCGCCAGGGAGCCGAATGGTTACAAACTTTATTTTATTGCTGTTTTACACGGCACTGCGTACGTATTTGGAGAAATTCACGGATATATTTTCAGTTTTTTTTCCATGGGTAATACTTAATTTAGAATGTGGTAATGACTGGAAAATCACAACGATATTTGTACCTATAATTTTGATGTAGTATACAATTACCGGTATCCATTAAAAAATAAATTATGCTGAAAAACACATTAATCATTTAATATACATTTAACATTTCTTCTATTTGAAATGACTCAATAAATGTAGTTTTACCATTCCATTTGACTTAATAAATATTAATAATCGTTTCTGAAATAAGCAATTACAAGATGGATGAAAAGGATTTTGAAGCATTTAAAGAGAAACGAGATTTTTCTCTTACGCCATATTTTCACTGGGGTTGAATCTAAAATTGGCAATTTAATATCAGTTAATATACATACCACTACATAGTTATGAACTTAAAGTAAATGTTGGCATATCAAATCCAATGATATTGGAGTTTGTAGGTAAAGATCATCTGTATTAATATTATATAACACAATGTGAGTTTTTGTTTGCCCGCGGCCATTTTTAGCTGTAAAAATGAGTTTACAATATGAATATATGATTTTAACTCATATCAACTAATTAAGTAATAGATCCTCTGGTTAAGTGAGTATTTTAATTTCATTGGCCTTGTGCCAGTAGTAGAAATACCTTTTGTGATATTTTTGTAAACCTAAAATCATAAGTAAATTACGCTTCCAGAGCAAAAGATAAATTGTGCGGAATTCATTTAAGCGGGACTAGATGACAACTTAAAGATGGTGTGGCACAAATTTCTGCCGCATCAGCTATCCTACACTTAAACGTGGGGGGAGTAATGAAGCCGCGCCACTTTATAAAATATAGAACTTCGTTCCGATATATGGGCGGAGCGGAGAAAAAAAGTTTTTATTTTTCTATTAAGAAAGAGTCTTTCAAAGAAGAACACGGCCTTCTTCTAGACTCGTTTAACTGTCTTGCTCAGTTCAGTCTTGGTTGTGAGTTACACGAAGTCCTTATTGTTCCGCTCTAGTCAAATTGGAAAAAGGACAATAAAATCTTCAAAGCAATTAAAACAATAAAGGTCGAAAGGTCTTGCTGAAATGACAATTTCAATCTCTTGGATACGTATTTTTTCTTATTTCACATAATGAAAACATTACAGAGATATATTGATTTGAAATATCGAATGACGTCACCTCTGGGTACAGTTTTTACTTAGAAGTGACATGAGAGAGAAAGAAACATTTTATCTCATCACGACATCACGGCTTTGATGCTCTTCATCTTTTTATATATATTTGTTTTATTGGCAAAGTAAATAAAGAGCCTCCATTAAGTTTTGATAATCAAACTGATGGACTAAATAGAAGTCCATTAATTCACCCCGTCATTATCCCTATTATGAAAATGTACATGATGATGTCATGTTAAATTTGTTCTTTCACCAAAAATCGTTGAATACAACGCTGAATATAATTCAAGTTTAAGTAGTATACTTGTGTCGATTCTGACATGATTCTCTGAACCTAAACTTAAATTTGACAACAGTGTATACTTGTCATTCCCTATACAGAATGAAAAGGAGTGACTGATGATAGTTAATAAATAAATAATATTACTGACCTGGTTTAATACACGACATGCCGCAGGCTCCGTCGCAGAGGCATTTTTTCTTCTTACTTTTGCAGTCTTCGTCTGAAGAACACTTCCTCAAACACTTTTGGCCCTGTGAATAGAAAATGTGTGTTCAATTTTATCTAATACTAGCGGCCCGCCCTCGCTTCGCTTCGGTGTAGAGCTGAAGTGTAGACTACAGTTTTTGTTCTCAGGCTTGTATTATACACAATGACATTCATCTATGATTCTTCTTATACCTGCATGCAAAGTCTCAGCCCGATCGGTTTAAAATTGACAAACTTTCATTCTCTATTTTACGCCCTTGAGGGTGGAATTGATCAAAATCCTTTCTTAGCGGATGCCTACGTCATAACCTCTATCTGCATGCCAAATTTCAGCCTGATCCGTCCAGTGGTTTGGGCTGTGCGTTGATAGATCACTATGTCAGTCAGTCACCTTTCGCTGGGTCAGCTAGTATATATATAAAACTATATATACTAGCTGACCCAGCGAACTTCGTACCGCCCTAAAAAAATAGGGGTTGTCCAGCGGACAAAATTGTGAATCTAAACCATTCTCAGATCCCCTTGAACACACACAAAAAATTTCATCAAAATCGGTCCAGTCGTTTAAGAGAAGTTCAGTGACATACACAGTCATAGAAGAATTATATATATAAAGATTTTGTAAGGGAAGTAACCCATTACTGTTCTGCTTTCGACAGATAGAAATATTACATTTTATAATTGTCTATTGTTTCGGTGGATGTGATATGTTTCCACATACTTTTAATTTATTTTTTCCTATCCAAACATGCCATAATCCACTTTGATGATAAAAATCTTGCTTTTTTGATTCAATGCAATGTATGTTGTGTGCAGCTGGTATCTTTTAACACAACCACAAAAAGATGTATCAAATATGATTTAATCGTTAGAGGTATGAATGACCTCATAAAGTTTTCATCAAAATGCATGATTTTGAGTAACAGCAGTAAGCGTATGAGTACGAGATCGCGTATCAGTACAGGTATGACTACTAGCATGAGTACGATTAGGAGCACGAGTAAAAGCTTGTGAGAAAACCCTTTTTTCGTCAATGCAATGTATGTTGTGTACAACTAAAATGACATTATTGAAATCTTCATAAAGTACTTCATAAAGTTTTCATTAGTATATATGATTTTGAGTAAGAGTACAAGAGTATGAGTACAGGTATGAGTACGAGTATGAGTACGCATATTTACCAGCATAGTTGCCTGCTCCTCGTCCCTGGGACACTCGGCGGACGGCGAGTTCCTAGGGTTCTTGTACACCCGCCCATCGTCGTCAGCGTCCGCCCTGCTCTGCGGCGTAGTGTCGTCGTCGTCATCGTCATCGTCGGACACCGTGGGGCTCGGCAGGGCGGACACTGGGGACAAAATGTTATTGTCAATACAAGCCAGAAGAAACCCACTGCTATTTTTGCCACGTGTATTGCCACCCCGGCAAACTTTTCGAGTACAGGGACGCCTGCGCCGTAGCTATTTTACATACAAAAACATCCACTGCCCAACTTAATTCTGTCCGTGGTTTTGCTCAAGAAGTTGCCGCTACCTATACATAAGTACAAGTTTTAAAATAAAACGAGTGTTTAAATTTCAAAGTTATGAAATAATAATAAAATGAAGTTTCGTTATAATTAATTTCAGAATGTCTTAAACAATCACGTGGCACCGCTTTAGGCTCAACTCACACTGGAACAGAGTCGTAGCGACGTGGCGCTACATGTTTTTCGTTTTGGGAATACCCCAATAGCGGGAAAAAGGAGATGAATTTGCTGTAGGCGAAACCATGACGAGTCGCGTTACTTCGACCAGCCAGTCTGAGTTGAGCCTCAATTCTTATGTTGGTAAAGTCGACTAGCAAGACCTAGGTAAGTAATAATATTTAATTTGGCCCCCATTTTCACATTTATTGGTTCTGATGGGATCTGTCATCTTACCTAATAGTTTATCAGATGAAAAAACCTATATTGATGAAAGTGACAAGCTCATCATATTGAAAAATTGGATGAAAGGAGATAACATATTGTATGGATCTGTAGGGATAGACGGATGATGTTCATCAAGGCGTTAACAGTTTCGATAATAGCTTCCCTTCGGGTACGGAAGTTATTTCAGCAACGGAACCTTTTAATGAATAATAACAATTCCATCAGCGAAAACACTTTCTTTAATAACAGACATCTTTAACAAATAACATTTTATTGTCATCCCAAAGTGCAGCCTTTGTCTTTGAGAATTAAAGGAAAACCCTGGTTGCTTTCATTGTATGTATTATTGAAAATAATTATGAGATTTTTATAAAAAAAATCTCACTGAACTTTTACTTGTAGGTATAGATATGTATCTCTTTGGTATTACTCAATATTTTTCTAAATGTTGACTTTTAAATTCTGTTGTTATAAAAAAAAACAATTCAAATCAAACCAATAGAACATTGCGGCGGATATAGAACAAGGAACAAAGCTGACAGTTTCATTTTTCATAATGGAATCGAGTGTAGAAATATATTTGTCACGGAATGAGCGGTCCTATGTTGCTGCATGCCTCACTGCTCGCGGCAATAAGGTTGCGGTCTGAGAAATGGAAAAATTATGAAGTACATTATTTTAAAAATAAATTAGGTTCGGTATTCTCCCATCTTCCACCTTAAACAACTCACGTCACGCATGTGCAAAGCTTATTTATTGTGTAAATCAGTAACTATAATCGATATTGTAAAATAGACATCAAAAGTAAAAAATGTGGCAAAATAGCCATCTTAAATTTGGAGAGAGATATTATAATTTAAAGAAAATACTCTAATTATTGGCACTGCCGATATTTTGGTAATGAGACGACGGATATCATTTCAATATTTTTAGACGACCTCCGTGTTCGAGTGGTTTTGTACACCGGGTTTCATGGTGTCGCCGCCTCGAGAGGTTCGAATCCCGGTGGGGGCAGATGTTAGTGTGATGAATACGAGCATTTGTACTCCAGTCATGGATGTTTAATATGAATTTTCTGTACAAATATAGTTATATATGTACAGTATATCGTCGGGGATAGTGCAAATCCGCGAATCTACCATACGTAAAAGGTGCGTATCTGCAATAGATCCAGTTTTACAGGGGAAGGTTAAAACTTAATAACTTTATTAATTCAATTAACTTTAAGCTCATTTTTACACAAAAAGTAATTAGTAATGTGTTCTATCTCTTGGTAGAATATATATCAATTTAAGTAAATAATTAAGGCCCTACGACAATTACGCGGATTTGCTTTGACCATAAACTTATAACATTGGAACTTAAGGGGAAAGTACGCGGTTTTGAAATGAAACAAATATCATTATTTTAACAAAAATATTATTCAATGTTGAAAATAAAATTATAAAAAATTATTGAAAAATCTTTGCCTCTTACAAAAGATAGATAAAATGAATAAATGTTAGATAAATGTAACAAAATCAACATAAACTTTTTCTCTAAAAACTCTTTGAATTACACTTATAAACTAAATTACTCTTATAAACATCAAACATATAATTAAATCTTATATTAATTCAGAGGATAATCAGCCTTTTAAGTAATTTCAATTGGAAAACTTCGGAATATCACAAATCTTAAATGTATTAATGAAATAAAATTATACCCCAATCAAACAGTCTTAGTGCTTAAAATTACGTACTTAAAAAATAATAATAGGCACTAGTAGGTAATAATTAAAATCAAATTATAAAAATCAACAAAGGAACTGAACAAAAAGATATAATTTCTAACAAAAAAAGAATAACGAAATTGTTCATTTATAAGGTGTAAACAGTTAAAGATTACAATTAGTTAATAAGAGGCAGCTACGTATTAGGTATTTCTGTATGGCAAGTTGTCATAGAATTCATGGCAATCTGAAGGTATAACACTTTTTAATTGTTGTAAATGTTCATACTTTGATTTGGATATTGGCAACCTATCGGCAAAGAGCTGTGGTGGTATAAATGGCTCAATTCTTTTTGGCCTTTGTGGTAACAGTTGAAACTCGTCATTGTAGTTAAGCTTGTATTCAATTGTACCATTGGGATTGTATTTTAGTACTCTGATATCAACCACACATTTCGCACCAACCCCTCTCCCAGGGCGAATTGTATCATAAATAAAGTTATTTTTAATACTATAATCTTTAAAGAATGTGTGGTCCACTGTTGCTACCTCATATGGAGATGGATTCAGTCTAGCTTCTTTGGTAATCGAAGAGTACTGACTAGGCAAAAATATTTCACGATTTTTTAATTTTCTTTCAATTATTGAGTGAACTGAATCCACCTCCATCTGAGTGTGACCTTTTTCTAAAAATTTTTGTGTAATCACAATATTTTTTTCCATCGCCAGTAGCAGGAGAGCATTAGAAACCACAACATTTCTTTTTTGTGATGTGCATCCATCACTAAAAATAACTACATCTTTTGGGCAGTCTTCTACAATTTTCTTTAAATAATCAATATAAAAAGAAGCATAAGTTGATGCTTTTAAATCAGTAGTGGTCTCATCAAACCAATAACACTTTACATTATTAGTGCCCAGATTGTAAATTGTGAAATTATGAACCATAAGCTTTGTTTTAAAATACAGTGCACTAGCTTTAAAAAATGGACACAATTTTACAGCTTGTAAGTCAGCAGTGATAAGATGGAGTGTTCCATTTTTCGCTCTTTCTTTGTCTAAAGTCTTTTCTTGTCTAGCTAAATCTTTTCGTGACAAGTGTTGCTGATATTCTTCTTCACTAATATTACCTACTTTATACGAACAACATAGATCACATGCATCTTTTTTAGGTTGAAACAATGCTATGTTTTCATCTTTTAGAACATCTTCAAATAGTTTTCTTGACGCCACTCTCTGTGCCTTTTTTTTTGCCTCTTCAACATAGATACGATATAGTTCACGTTTAGACTGTATTATTGGCTCTACATATAATTTCGTACTTTCTTTTCTGCAGTAGTGAGAAGGCATTTTGGGCAAATCCCTTAAAAATGCTTGCACAAATTCTTTTAACGTACTCGTAGGCAACGCATTATCCTCCCTTCTGTTCATTGTTGTTTCGTTACTTGGTGTCTCTCCTAACCAGTATCTTACAGTCCACTCCTTAATGCCTAATGTCCCTAAGAATGTCTTTAAACATACTCTATATTTTTGGTCATTTAATTTCAAATAGTACTCTTTTGTACTCCTTCGTCTTGAATCAGACCTTCCAGTGGTTTTTCTGTTAGTCGGTTTTTTATCTACTAAGGATGAAACAAACATTTTTTTCTCAATCCAGCTCATCTCCCAAAATTCTTTAAAAATATTTAATCGCACAGTGTCAGTAAATTTATCACAGTTAATCACCTTGCTCCTAATACAATTGTTTGACTTACAAGCTTCCCCAAGATTTCGCGCCGGTTTAATAGAGTCTTGTACGAATTTCTCATGATCTGTCTTCCTGAAACCTATGTATTCCTGACCTAACATTCTTAACCTCTTATTTCTAAACCTTTTTGAAGACATTTTATCAGCTTTTCGTTTCCTTATTCTAGACTCAGCTGCAGCTTTATGTTCTAAGTGGCTTTCTGGAATCAGATTATTATTACTATCCGTCGATGATGAAACTATCGGTGCAACATTTGTTATTTCAGACAATGGAGTATAATTTGGATCAGTCACAGAGTCATCTGATGAAAAATCAAGGATTGAAGAACTATTTTGTGCGTCAATACAGTCATTCATCTCATAAGAAACGGATACAACGTTGTTAGTAGCAGATATGACAGGCTCAGAAACATCTGGATCACCAAATTTCAGCAGCTCTGCTGAATTGAAAGTAATTGTGTCAGAATTAGATAAATCGCTGCCATCAGGATTCTCATTGTGATTTTCAGCTTCAGCAAAACAAGTAGTAGGAACATTTTCAACAAGCTGTGTGGTATTTTCACGAGATGTAGTCTGCTTAAGCAGAATTTGTTTTTTTATTTCCAATAAACGTTCGCGCCTTTTCTTTAAACTTATTAAGGTAGTAACATGACACGTTTCATTTTCGCTGCAGGTGTTACCAAATCACATACGCGGTGTTGAAACTTGCTCGCGACAGATACGCAGTGTTGTTATTTGGCGATTTCTGGCTTCCGATTGGTCGAAATGAAGTCGTTTCAAGTCGGTGGCAGCCTATCAAGATTAATGCGTGAATTGCCCGCGAAAACTTAAAATGGCTACATTTGTCATATACGCGGAATTATCCAATGCTAGTTACGCGGATTTGAACTATCCCCGACGATATGTATTCTATCCGTTACCCTAGTAACCCATAACACAAGCCTTACAGTGCTTACTTTTGGGCTAGGCTAATTGGTATG